CCCCCCCCCCCCCCCCCCGGACCGCACGGGGCCATGACTGGGCACGAATCTCTGTGAGTCCATGACAGGAACCTGTAACCCTTCAACGTGATGCTAGACAGAAGGGTCAGCCTGCAGCATTTGCCAAGAGAGCAAAATGCTCTGCATGGCTAGAGAAGGACTGTCCAGCCATTGCGTCTCAATGCTGCAAAGTCTGACCAGGCTCTCTTGGGACGTGGTCGTCTGAGCGTGTGGACACAGACCACGTTTTCAAGACGGGTGTTTGTCTACCAGATCTGCTCTAGTTCAAACAGGAATTGATTCAGGGCAGGTCTCTGGCCAGCGTAATGCCGGAGTTCAGACCAGGTGATCACAGAGATCCCTGCTAGCCTTGCAATTCATGACTGCAAACCTGTGAAATGCATCTTCAAAAGGACATTGTTATCAGCTCCAGGACAGTGTCACACTCAGCACCAGGGCTGGGCGCACCGTGCCAGCGAGGGTCTGTGATGTCCAGAGCAGACAGGCTGCAAAACAGTGACAGCTGAGCTGACGAAATCTTCGGCGCCTGCCAAGAACAGGAAGTTCATCAGTAACTTGAACAGGTTAAGGAAGCAGAATTCCTGCATAAGCCGCTTCTGCAGCCACCAAGCCCTCCCCAAATAGCTGTTGCACGTCAGACACTCACAGCAGACAGGAGGGCCCGAAAAATGGTGCTGCTCCATATCTGTGAACATTGGACACACAGAGGAGAAGGGACAGCAAAATGGGTGTCATCTGTGAAGGACGTGAGGTCACAGGCTCCAGAAACCTTAATCCTGCAGGGCTCACGTGTCAACCTTGAGCCATCGTGGGGCTGAAGCAAGTCTCTGCAGGTCCAAGATGTCCTATATTGGCCCAACACGAGCAAGGTCAAACATTTCATAAGCCAGTGCAGTATCTACAACGAATCCCTGAGCCCTGCTCCCTGCACAGACTTTCAGCCATGATCTAGGAACATCTGCCAGTCTGCTGAGCCGGAGAAAGAGGCTGGACACAGCGGCAGGTGCTGGCGTCCCAAAGGAGCAGAGCTGGGTGGGGAGTTGTTACGGCATCTGGTGCAATCCAGACAGGTGAAGAGTTGTCACTTCTTGCCCTGTGAGCCTCACAATGTTGTGCTGCTGTAGCTCCCAGCCTGGGACACTCACAATCAGCCTCCCCAGCATGCACATCACATCCTGAGTGTCTATGTCTTAGACAGCTCTGCTCCAGCAGTTCTGAGCCCAGCAACCTGGCTACAGCCCCACTGTCTCCCAACCAGCAAAGGGGCACCTGACACACTCCCGATCTTTCCCCACACGGTGTGCTCTGCAGCGTCCAGCCCTCGCTTGGACAGCTCAGAGACTATAAGGCTAGTTTGCCTAAGGATTCGTAGATTCATAGATTCTAGGACTGGAAGGGACCTCGAGAGG